ACATCTGAAGAGCGCTCAAGAGCCGTCAATGACATCTCAGCATCGGAGAAGCCTACTTCAAGCTCCCCATCCACAAATTCAGCATCAAGTCTGCTGGTTACTGAACCTCCCAGAGGTTTGCGATCTCTGTATGACTTCTTCCTGGCCCTTCTGTTACTCTTCTGAGAAAGATACATGGAAAGCTTAATGTTTCCACTTGACGTCATAGGAAATTCCTTCTCCACTTTATCTGAAGAATCACTAACTTCAAGAGCGCTAGAGGCTCTCTCTGAACTTTGGTCCATGGTATCTACATCACTGTTCCCACCATCTGAGAGGGAAGAGGATGAATCCGATTCAGTTTGCTTTTTCTCAATACCAGTATCAGATGCAGAATAGTGTATTTGTAATTTGGAACTGCACAAAATGCCCAGGGAGCTCTTCTCTCTCTCCAAAGATGCGCTGGAAAACAAATCCCCTTGGAGCATGTTCTTCAGAGCACCACTTTTACGATTCTCATAGTCCGGTTTCAAAGTAGTCTTTTCAAAACGTCTTTCTCCAAAGGAGGAAAGCAAATGGTTTTCCCTGGTGCTACTGGATGCTGTTAGACTGTTGGCAATCCGGCGAAGTTCATGAGATGCGTGTTTACCTGGTAGGTCCCCAACAATCATGTTTCTAACTATGCTCTCTGGCATTTTTTCTTTGATTTCTCCCCTAGATGCTTCCCCTCTTGCACCACTCTTTTTTACTCTAGTCCTTTTTCTGCTGTCAGAGCTCTTTTTCACATGTGGCTTAATGTGCAATTTTCCTTTTTCACTGGCAGGGTGTCTGGAGTCAAATGACAAGGATTTAAAACAGCCATTCAGCTGCCTGTCCCTTTCTGCTCCAGGGCCATTGGCATAGTATTCCAACTGCAATTCCTTCTCGTTGTCCAGCTCGATAGAGTTCTGGCTGCATTTTTGATCCTCTGGTCCCCCGAGAAGAATGTCTTCTGCCTGTCCAACGCTGACTTCCCATTTAGCCATAAATCTCTGAGGAACCTTAAAGTTGGAGGAGACAAAAAAAGAAAAAGAAAAATTTGATGGGGTAAGCAACAAGATAAAAGTGAGATAGAGATGCACAAGGCACAGAACACAGTGGCAATCCTGGACTTTGCATCTTTAAGACAATCACATGTATTCTCAGAGACTGTGCCTAGCAGACAGAGAAAATACTTCTCCTGGGTAAGTACCCTGCACTCCTGCTGAGCCTAATAAAAATCCCGTGCATTCCCAAAACAGAAAAAAGGTGCCTGCAAGCACAGGTCTCCCAGGAACCAGATGTCCTGGCATCCCAGCACACCCTGAACACAACAGCCTGTAAAGGGGAATGCATACGGTATGGATTCCTGGCACAGAAACGCAAAGCGACAGCCAACAAGCCTCTCAAGGCAAATGCAGCATCATTTTCCTTAAAGCATTTGAGCAGACATGTTTGCTTTGCTCATTCTTGATTCTTCCTGCATCCCTTGAACTCAGAGCACGATTCAATCGACATGGAGCATTTCTAGAACCAGAAAAGTTATTTGGGAGCATGTAACTAATTGTCAGAGGGCTGTGAACACAAGGAGAAGAGTCCTTAGAGAAGATACTGAACATGCCCTTGGAAAAGGAAAACCAAAAGAAAGCATTACACCTGGGGACTCACATCTGCAAAAGCACATTTAATCTAATGGTTTTGCACTAACATACGTTAAGTACATAACTGCTAATAAACCTCTTGGAAAAAGAGAAAAAGAAAAAACAGACACCATTGCCTGGTATGACTATCTGCTCTCTTACAGTAATGCCTCTGTACTTCTTCACTTCAGCAATTCTAAAAAGTTAATTTCTCCAGTCACCTTCCTAAAGACATAGACCAGACCCTGTGTCATGTTACATTATACTGGCTACAACTGCTCCAGGCTGTTATGTTTGGAAACGGAGATGATGCGATGCGCCACAAAACTCATTCCCACAGGCTCACTGACAAAGCGTTTTCCAAGTCAAATTATAAGTCCTAACAGGTTTGTATAAAGAGAATTACTGAATCAGGGCTAGAAACCCCACTGCTTTATCTCAGCCAGTGATCTAGTGAAGCGTGCAACTCCACCTCTGCTTCAGATCAGCCAAAAGAGGCTGCCAGAGAGCACAGGAAGTTATTTAGAAGCATGCTGTAATAGGCATCAGGAGAGGGCTGTGCCGCTGAACACATCTCACACCGACAGAGACCTGACTCCTCTGCCTCTCAGAGCTGTCTAAGGCAATAAAAGCAGCAGGCCACACCCCGACATAAAAGAGAGCCTAGAAACTCCTGGCAGCTTATAAACTATGCTCATTGTAAGGATGCAAAGAACCACTTCCCTGGCTGCGTTGCTGCAGTCACTGCCAGAGAAGAGAGCTGTCGAAGTGCAATTCCAGGCATAAAGGAATACTTTGTACTGTGCAGATTCAAAGAATCAAAAACATATTAGAGAAAACGGATCTTTCACCTTATGTTTGTAGCCTTTTTCCTTTTGCTTTCCTCTTCTCCGAAGAACAGGCAGCTCTTCAAACTGATGTCTTCCTTCAAAGAGCACAATAGCTTTCCCAGCAACCCAGGTTTTCTCTGAAGGTTCTCCTAAGGCATCCACATAGTACTCTCGGTACGGTCTCCGATTGGAAACTATTTTGAGAAATGTAACAGAATTAACCTCTTGCATGTAACGGAATAAAGACAGACGAAGAGAATCACAGAAAGCGGTAGCAATTTGCCAGTTAATTTGCAACTGCTTTTTGCTCAGTAACATTCCCACATGAATGCCAGTTCGGGGGATTTCTAGTCAGAAGTCAGGGAGATCCCTTTGATCTCTGCTTTCTATGTTCTGTGTTGCTACGCTCTATTTCTGAATATATATTTTTTTCTTACAAGCAGTTGACTAACAGGTCTAAGATGGGTCATCTCCCTAGAGCAAAGACTATGGCTTGGCTGCAAAAAAACCTGCAAAAATATCCAAATTTTTTTTTTCCTTGAGAGACACAACATACTAGGCAGGACATTTCTTTTTTGCTACTCCCTGATTAATGATTAAACAGTCCAGTCAGCCTGACTGTTGGGAAAAGGCAACAGTGTGCTGGCAACACCCAGAAATTACATCCTTCTGGATAGGATTTACTCATACAGGTTGAACCTCCCCCACCATGATATATCCCACCTTGTTCAATGCTTTGTTACCAAACAAACTCTTATTTCGGACATAAAACATTAACAGCAGCATTTAAGTAAGCAAGCACATACACGCACGCTCTACAAGGACTGGTGCAACGTGACAAGATGTTAGTTGTAAGGAGTATCTTGTCTTGGGCACGAAGGTGCAGAGCAAGAGAAGAAACTCAATCATAAGGGCACAATCAAAGATTTTTTCAAAGGTGCTTTCTGCATGAGAATGCTGAACAGACATGGTACAACTAAGAACTGAACTAGTACTGGACGTGTTGGTGAAAAAGGACAGGTTACAGGCATTAGAACAGAGCAAACAAGGCTTGAGCAAGGGATATAAACTTCTCCCTGCATTTCGCTGCAATGTGTGCTTCACGTTCTCCTGGGAACACCTTCACCCTCTGAACACATAGCCTAGACTTCGCAGCCCATTTGGTTTGTGCTGCCTCTTCCGGGAGTGCCAGTGCAGTGCGGCAGCCTGGCCTTTAGCGATGCTGACATTGAGATTCTGACCGAGACCACTGAGAGGATGACAAATAATGACCAGGGCAACATCAAACCAAGGGCAAAGATGACAGGCTTCATCCATGCCATTCACAGTACCGGGACTCAAGCCACTGAGCCTCAATCTTCCAGCTCCAAAGATCTTTGAGTCAAGAGCTTGCCAAGAAAAGGCAAACCGCTTTAAACAAAACACCATACCTCCAACCCAAGAGGAGAAGAGGTTTTTGCACAAGTGATGAGTTTGAAGCGACCTGCCTTCGTTTTCAAGGGCTCATTCCCATGGCAACAGGAGAGCCAAGGCAGGAGGACTGTGCTTCCTACGGTGCACACAGAGCCCCGGCAGCTC